AGGGATTTTTAAAGGTTTTTTAAAATGATTTACAAGTGTTTTTAAAAGGATTTAAAAGTATATTTAGAGGCATACTCAGATTTAAAAATAGTTTTAAAGGATTTACAAGAAGTTTTAAAGGGTTTTAGAAGTTTACAAAGGTTTTTGAAGGGTTTACAAAAGTTTTTAAAGGTATTACAAGTTCTTTAAAATGGGTTTTAAGGATTTACAAGGGTTTTTAACGGGTTTTAGAAGTTTACAAAAGTTTTTATTAAATGATTTATCACGGTTATAAGTGGTTTAAAGGGATTTACAAGTGTTTATAAATGTTATAAAATGATTTACAATGGTTTTAAAAGGTTTACTCAAGTTTTGAAAGGTTTTGGATAACTTTTAAAAGATTTACAAGGGTTTTTAAAGGATTTTTTAAGGGATTTATAAATATTTACAAGGTTTTTTTAAGAAATTGCGGAAAAATTTTGGCTGAAAATTTTTGGCGGGAAAATTTTTGTCGGAAATTTTTTGGCGGGAATTTTTTTTTGGCGGGAAAATTTTTCGGAAGGAATATTCTTTTTGTAGGAAGAATATTCCTTTTTTGATCATGGGTTATAATAAATGAGGGTAATTTAGTCATTTGTACATTGAAGAGGGTATTTTTGAAAATGAACACATAGAGAGGGTACTTGTAGAAAAGGGTATCATAATAAAGGTTAGTTGTGCAAATCTCCCTATTATCTATAAAACTCAGTTTTTGAGTGTGAAAAATAATAAGAGCCCCTTTATATAGTAGTAGGAGTGACACTACAAAATAATTGACATCCATTCTACACTGCCTCCACCACTAGAGAGAAGAAGGAGGTTGATTCAATTTTTACTAAATCATGGATTTAGAACTTGATTTTGATGATCGACACCCACTCAAAACAATAATTATATTCTCAATATTATGTTAAAAACAAAACATAAGCCTATTAATTTGTTGCAGTTAGTTAGGTATTTGGAAAAATAACATAACAAATTATCAACTAGGTTGCAACAAAAAAAAACTTATCAAGTTTAAAAAAATTTAAATACCGACAATTATAATTATAACTATATTTTAACTTTAAATCATTTTTAACAATATGATAAAAGTTTTGTGTTCCAAGATATTATCAATGAGAAAACTTTCATGGGCCAAAAATTTCTATATGATTTATTTTAAACTTTAGTTGTGCACAAAAATATTCTGAAAAAAATCTTTAACTTTGGTATAGATGTTCGATACTATATATAAAAAAAATTAGGGAGATTTGCACAACTAACCTTTATTATGATACCCTTTTCTACAAGTACCATCTCTAGGTGTTCATTTTCAAAAATACCCTATTCAATGTACAAAATGACTAAATTACCCTCCTTTATTATAACCCATGATGAAAAAAGAATATTCTTTCGAACAAAAATAATATTGCTTCCGATAAATTTCCCGCCAAATTTTCCCGCCAAAAATTTTCGACAAAAAAAATTCCCGCCAAAAAAAAATTCCCGCCAAAAAATTTTCGACCAACATTTTCCCGCCATAAATTTTCTGCCAAAATTTTTCCGCAATTTCTTAAAAAAACCTTGTAAATATTTATAAATCCCTTAAAAAATCCTTTAAAAACCCTTGTAAATCTTTTAAAAGTCATCTAAAACCTTTCAAAACTTGAGTAAACCTTTTAAAACCATTGTAAATCATTTTATAACATTTATAAACACTTGTCAATCCGTTTAAACCCCTTATAACCGTGATAAATCATTTAATAAAAACTTTTGTAAACTTCTAAAACCCTTTAAAAACCCTTGTAAATCCTTAAAACCCATTTTAAAGAACTTGTAATACCTTTAAAAACTTTTGTAAACCCTTCAAAAACCTTTGTAAACTTCTAAAACCCTTTAAAACTTCTTGTAAATCCTTCAAAACTATTTTTAAATCTTTGTATGCCTTTAAATATACTTTAAAATCCTTTTAAAAACACTTGTAAATCCTTTTAAAAAACATTTAAAAATCCTTGTAAATTTTTAAAATCCTTTAAAAATTCTTGTAAATCCTTTTAAAACTGTTATAAACTTATAAAAACTTATAAAAACTTTCAAAAAATTATCATTTCAATGCCTAGAAAACGTGACCTCATGACCATCCGGACAACATTAGTGCATTATTATAAGTATTTGTTACGTTTGAATATGGAGTTTTACATTTTTCTTACAATTTGATCTAGCGGATCCGATTGGTATTAATTTTATTCAAACTTTTATCTTAAAAGATAATAATAATTTATTTTTTATTATTGAGAAACACTCTTATAATATAACCTTGTGATTAACAAACTTATCATGTTGACGTGTCATTCTCGTAAAGCTCCTAAAACTATAAATTTAAACCAAAAACTAAAATATTCATCAAATTACCATTTTGTTTCTCAGAAACTAAAATCTACACCAAGACCCAAAAACCAAAATTTAAAAGCTAAAACTACTCTAAAAACTATAAACATTCATGGCCAAAGTTGTGGATATTTAGTGTAGTTATGCACAATTTTTTATGAGACTATTAAAATAAAAGCATGACTTGTAGTTTTTTTTTGTCATCTGTGTATTGTAGTTTAGTTATTATCTTAGCTCTTTATCATCATTTTTATTAACTAGATTATGAAAAAGAGTTTGCGATCAATAAAATTTTTATATAATATCTCTATTTTATTTTTAAAAAAAATACTAATAGTGATTTGTATATTACTTTCTAATATTTTAATTTCAAAACTATATATATTATATTACAAATTTTTAATATATTGTAGGAATATAATCTATTTTTGAGAAACAATAAAATATAGCGATGTATTCAACAACGCGAAATGATGACAATGTGAAAGAACAACTATACATCTATACAAAAGAAAGAAAACTAAGTTTAAAAGTTTAAAACAAGAAACAAAAACAAAAGAATGTGCTACACTCAATAAAACTGTTATAGCTACATTAAAATTTGTTGATTTCGAACCAGTAAAAAAAAGGCTATACGCAATTTCATTTTTCCTTTTTTTTTTTCCTGAACTTTAAGCTTTGATTTTTTTTTTCATAAAGAAAATTTCTAATAATTTAGGATGATTCCACAATTAGATAGACTTATAGTAAAGCCATGTAGATATACATTAAGCATCATGTCAACTGAAGACTGAAGACCCACCACATATAAAAGAAGCATAAAATTTTACAGCCAAAAAAAGAGAGGCATCATCGCATATATACAATAAATGTTAATTGAAAGATCTACCACATATAAGAGGCATCTAACAAAGATGAGAATCTCAAGTAGGCCAAGACATGACCCTTCTACAATTAATTTGCCACCCAAACAAAAATAAAAGTAAACTATTCTCTAATCATTCCTTGCAATATTCATATGCCATTTACCATATGTGTGTAAAAATAAATTTAACTGCAAATAGCTAACAAATGTAAATCTTTTTTTTTTTAACGCCAATTGACATTATGATAGCATACAAAAAAAGTGCTATTGTATGGGGTGACCATATTATAGCTGAGATAGAAATAGCGTTTGATAATTCGCATCAATGACATTCTCATATAATTGCATTTCTTTAAAGCTAATAAAGCCTATATTTCAGAGCTTAGAAAATGTATGTAAGAAAATGTAGGTAATTTTTTATAATTATATTTATTCAGAGCTTACAAAATGTATGTAAGAAAACCAATTCAATGGAGATAGTGTAATCCATGAGGAATAATAATTTATATATGGTTTGATCTTAATTATGCTAATTTAGAAGATGAAAATGTACTAGTGTTACCAACGTACACATTGTTTAAAAAACACTCACACATATATGAAATATCACAAGGCGACATATAACAGAGAATATATTGAAAGCTCTAGTACACAATTATTGAAAGAGAAGATAAAGTGGATAGGATTATTCAACATTGCAATATTCAAGCAATGAGTGCAAGTTTCTCATCAGGAGTACTGTAAGTAGTAGTAGGAGGAGGAGATCGAACCAAGCCTCCTAAACGTGTGGAGTTGACATAGTCAAATGGGAAATGGTTAGAGCCACCAGGGAACACTATTCCCAAAATCCTAACAGATCTCATCATCCAATTCTCTTTGTAGTCTTTGCCTTTCCAAAACTGTAGTATGAAACTTCTTATAAACTCCCAAAAACCAGTTAGCAGCTTCGGTATTAACCACAACAAGTTGAAGTAGTTTGGGTTTGGTGCATCTTCTCTTACCTAATCAGCAAAAAAAAAAAAATCATAATTATATACCAAGAATGTATATAAAAACTAACAATCAAGAAAAAAATATGGTAAAAAAGTGTAAATTAATAACATATACATAAACTATTTTTTCCGTCGAAATTAAATTATTAGATTTCGTATTCAGGATATAAATTTTAGAGTTTAATATTTAATTTTCTATAGTGAAAACTAGGGTTTAAGTTTTATATTTAAAATATCAACTATATGTTGTAAGTTTTAGTATAAATTGTTTTTTTTATTTTCTTAAAAATCTCTCAGAAAGATAGTTAAAACACACAAAAACAAAAAAAAATATAGATAAATATTATATATCTTCTAGCTAACATGTCAATGTCATGTGAAAAACGACATTTCTCTTAAAAGAAAAATTAAAAGTTTCTTCTCATGTATTGACTTTATATATTCACTCTCTTTTTTCTTTATGATCTTTTTTTAATAATTTAGCAAGACCAAAACAAATAATTGAATTGAGGCTACTTTAATATTTTACCTTTCCTTTGTAAAGACTGTTGAAGGAGTTGCAAGGTCCATAGTGCTTGTATGCGAATAGAATCTTGTCATCAAAAGGGACTCTAGGCACAACATCATTGTTATACACAAATCTCTCATACTCTATTCCATGTTTTGTCATAACATCCTTCATAAACTCTCCAAACTCCTCATCACCTATACGTGGCTGTCCATAAGTGTACACTCCCTCTAGCTTATCTAGCAGCTCATCCTCACCGTGAATCGCAAGAATCGCGGGGAAAAGAGCAGCTAATGCTCCTCCAAGACTGTGACCTGTTAGAATAAACTTAAGGTTCTTGTCTCGACCAAGCTTGTCCCTAAGCATCTGTCTGATGGTGTAGTAAGCATATTGGTGAATAAGACTTATGTTTTCCTTGGGCCATCCTCCATCTTTTTGAAGGCCTAGTGCTCTTGAGAACCCGGCGTGGACTTTGCCAACGTTCTTCAACTCGTACCTATATTTAACATTTTCAAAATATATGATGAATTAAGAAGAGTAGTTATATATGTTGATGTATATAGATAAGAGTATGTACCAAGAGACGTCAAGATCAGTGCACCAATCAGCAGCCTCGAAAGGTTCAGTTCCTCTGAAGCTGATGACGATGAGGTTTGGATTGGTGCTTGACGTCTTAAACACGAAGGCTTGCGTCAATTTACTTTCTTGGAAAGCTGAACACAGAAAATACAAACTTAGGACTTAGAGATATACATATATTTGTTGCGGTAAATTTAGAAATTTTTCTAATTTTATTCAATCTATAATTTCAAGGTTATGCATAAATACATAAATACATAATTATTATATTGAAAAGCAAGTTTGATGTTGTAAAAAGGGAAATATAGTGACGAATCTTGATTGATGTATAATTCTTCGAAACGTTTTTAATATATAACTTATGTTTAGTCATTAAAGTAGAGATTAATTTTTAATAGAAAAAAGTTAATATTTTGTTTCTTTCTAAAATACTCTAAAAGGAAAAACAAAAATCTGAATTACTATCATGTAGCATTTGACTTTAAGAATCTTAGTTGCTAAATCAGGACAAAACACGTGACTTAAGATTTTGTATCGCCAGTTTTATTCTTATTATATTCGTTTCTCAAAGTTTTTTTCTACATCAATTATATAAATTGAGAATGAATACTTAAGTGTTTAAAAAATGTATAAACAAAATGTACAACCAACATATTTTGTTGAGAAATTAGTCACAGATGCACCAAACAAAAATAAAACAAAATCACAAACATAGCTTTAAATAATATTTAAACTTAAGTGTTTACGTGTATTATATGCATAGGTTACATTTTACAAACACACAAATATGAACTTGTAATATTATTAATTATTTTTTAATATATGAAAGTTTAACTAAAAATCATATATTCTAAAATTCTACAAGATTAAATATATTTAGCCTAGTATATAACTTTTACTAGCTATTATCATCATCGTTCTATATATATTGTAAATAGAGATTAAAATCTGGTAAGTTATGTATGTAACTATGTAAGTTGTAAACCAAAAATGGATTAGATCCGTTGATATTCAGATCTTTAAAATAAAAATATAAACATCTTTAAGTTTTAATAAATTTATTAATTTACTCCTAATCTTAATTAACATGTATGTCTCCTAAACTTTCACTGGTTCTAACAAATAAACAAAGTATTTAAACGAGTTCATATGGAGTGGCTTTGAAATATATTAATTTTAGTTAGATAGTAATTCTAAACTGCTTCAACTAAAACCATTCAAACTAAGATATATATATAAAATTTTTTTTATAAAATTCAACTAATCACAAAAAGATTATACAATATAAATAATCATAAAATATTAAATTAATCTATAATTTGTATAAAACTTGAAAATATCCTAAAATATGAAAAATACTAAATTAATCTATAATTTGCATAAAAACTTGAAAATATCCTAAAATATGAAACAAAAAAATAATAAATTAATTTGCTTATTTTATGAAATGGAGAGAAAAATAGTATAAAATTGCTTATATAGATCACTAAAACTGAAGACACTTGTCATAATTTATTACTATTTATATGTCTAAATTCATTAAATATGCTTCTATTATTTTTATCCGACAGATGACACATTTATAATCAGTAGGGTCTTTTGCGTAGTTGGCATTTATATGTTTTACAAACACGTTATGTTAATAGAGAGACCCTATTTGGCTATTTGACATTTATATGCATCATTATGATCTCGTAGACCTGTTTCTGTCGTATTATCAAAAATGATATATACGCATTTATACGATTTTTTATTCATCTTTTTGGGAAAAACTAAAAAAATCTTTACCTACGTATCTTTCTTTTTGATAAAAGTTTAAACTTTACACATCTCTCTTTTTTTATTTTCTTTTTTATGACGAGTATGCTTTATATATGTCCTATTTATAGTTTCAAAGTTATGTTTTCTTTATGGATTCTAACTTGATTTAGTTATTTATACACCAAAAATAGTTAAATTAATCCAAAATCATACACAGAGAATGCCCTAATCTCTGAAATGGGAAAATAGATAGTAACGTTTCCTAACAAAGTAATAAAACATTTTAACTTACCGTTGTAAAAGTCGTAGTTACCAACCAAGTCCATCTGCATATATCACAGGATAGATCAGAAACATTCACATAGTGAGAGTGAGACGTAAAACAAATCTAAAAAATAATAAAATACACTATTTTCCCGTATTCATAATTATTACCATGAAAAAGAAACGCAAAGATTTGTATATAATACGATAAAAAGTTACTAAAACTTAGTATAAATATACTCCAATAATATGTTTATGGATCTGTAACTTTGTTGTTATTAATTATAAGAAGAGTTATATTTATATGAGAGTATAACTTAACCCTAATTAAGAGAATGAGAAGATAAGAGAGGAAAGTGAAGTTAAACCTTCCAAGTGTTCTTGACGACGGAAGTGATGAAAGGTTTGCTCTCGTAAGCGATCTTAGAAGCCATTATTGATAGCATCGACTTGTATTCGATGGTACCAACATTTATCTTCTCGTCAAGCTCAACTCTTCGATCTGTACATCCTACAAATGATGTATATGCCGCCGCGGATTTGTCAGGTTTCACCAGCTTTCCTGTAACAAGTCGAGCCTTTTTGGGTTAGTCCTGTAAACATACTTGTAAAACATCATCCAAAGAACATTAAAATAGTTGGATTAGTTGTCTCAAAATTCAAAATAGTGTTCTTAAGACCACATGATATGAGATTAAACTCTCTTGTCTATTTCAAATACAATATTTATCGTTAAAGTGTTGTTTTGGTTTCGATATGTGCTTTAGCGTCTTGCATGGAGAGTAATCTTTGGTCTGTCTGATATGTGGTAAGTATCATTGTTGGTCCTTGTCCAAAAGTCCATGGGGAATATTAATATATGATATTTGGTTCTTGAGATCTTTGGATATATATCTAGATTTTTTGGAATACTTATGTCATATATATGCAAGAAAAGGAAAAAAGAAAACATTCTTCAAGATCAAGAACTTAGTATAGATAGTGAAAAGTAAAGATAACGAGTTAAAGTATGCTATATTGTTAGATTTTTCACCTGTGATAAGGTTAAATATCGTGTTGAAGAAGCCTCCATTCGCGGTAATAAGATTGAGCAAATAGGTTAAGAAACCACCAAGCATTGCCATGGGTTTTCTTAACAGCATCAATAACTTCTGAACCAAAATGGCCAACGCAATGATCCATCGACTCGTGAAACTTCTCCGGAAGCCTTTGAGCGTATCCGGAGGAGAGTCGATGAATCTTGCGCTGGTCAAGTTTGAGGAAAACAAAAGAAGAAGGAGATCAAGATAACTTGCTTTGGTCGGATCGACCAAGAAATAATTATTGCAAACTTTCATATTGGTTTTTGACATTCTCACAATATGAAAGGAAGAGAGAAAAATAAAAAAAGAACTTTGCTCAGAAATATAAAGTGACTATGGTTGATTTGTGAGTCATGCAACCTAGAGTGAGGCTACGTATTTATAGTGCTAGTAATTATTGGGGATCATAATTTTTTTTTTAATAATTTTTTTAACTTTATAATTGATCAGCCAATATTCATACAACACCTTTGTGGTCACAAAAAGCCTTTGTTGTTTTTCACGTGCCAAATAATATTATAAATAAAAATGATTGTTTCACATTTTAACCTAATCGTTTTGCTTTGGTCGGTCAGAAAATAAACACAGACGTATATCCTACTATCGAATTATTATTGACTTTACTATTGTTCTATGATCAACTCTCTCTCGAAATTATGAAAAATTCGAATTTGCCATCCATAAATTAATAAAGGATCTTGTAATTTTTTTTTTTAAAGAATAACAATTTTTTTTAAAAGACCACAGAAATAAACTTCTAGAAAGACCAATAAACAAAATAAAGATGAAGCCTAAGCTACATCAGAATGATCCAAGTATATACAATTGACAGTATTGGTGGCAGCTGTCTGAAATATATTAGTATAAATTATATATGCATTGGATTGTGATAATGTGAAAACTTATAGAAGTAATGATTAAATGTTCGGTTTGAGTGTTTGACCCCAAAAATCATCTTTTGGGTTATAATAAGTGTGTTTGTTTTATAATAAAATAACTAGGTTCAGATCCGTCCTACAGCGTGGAAGAATATTTTTGAATTTATTTTATTTAACGTGTTTTATCGTATCTGTTATTATTTCGTTTATTTTAGTATAAACAATTGTTATTTCGAAATATATATTTGGTTTCGATTCTTTGGGAAATGTGTGTATTCAGAAATTTAATAAAATATTTAAATAAACCAAATAAAAAATGTTTATTAAACAAATTACATATTCACAATGTATGTTGTGACGAACCAATCAGCAAAAGCCCGTGTATTTTAAAAGGAATCATGAAATGAGTAATATTGGATGAAATTTTGTATATACTTGTATCACATAAGAACATATGAGTTTGAAAGATTTGCATATACTTGTATTCTATAAAAAATTTTAAAACAAATTATACATCATATTGGATAAAAGAACATGAACTAAAATAGTAAATGATAAGTCATAAGAAAAACTTCAAGATACTGTAACATGTAAAAGTTGGAAAGAAAAAATTGATGTATTTTTTAGGGTTAGTAAATTGAATTCTTATAGAAAAGACATTTTTAATTAGCTTGTAACAAATTTAAAGTAATTTCTTAAAATTTAATATATATATATATATATATATATATAGAACATTTTAAGGTAATATATTTAAACTAACTTATGGAATATACCCTTTGAAACTGATTTTGTATTAGTAGTGATTCGATGATTAATAATTACAAAGATAAAATATATTAATTATTTGTTTTGTACCCAAAACATTTTCGTATTACCCATTGCATATGATGATTTTCAAAATATATTTTGTTTTGCTAAATTGACCCTACTTATTTTTTATTTGTATTTCTCTTTTACTAATATAGGATAATATAGAATAAAAATGCTTTGTTACTACATATGAGACACGAGCAAAATAAAATTAAAGGTGAAGTGAAAGAACTCATTTATATTTTGTCCATGCGGCCATGCCCATTTCCTTAGCTAGCTAACAACAGCCCATCACCTTGAATATTAATGTTTAACCAACCATTCTGATGAACAGATTTGGACTGTTTTTTTTTTATTAGGTAAAATGTATATGTATAAATTGAAATTTGATTTTACTTTCAAGATGAAAGCCATGCTCACTAAATTAATCACAAAGTCAATTGATTTTTTTTGGTGCACGGTTAAAAATTTCTGAGAATTTTGAAAAGCACCATTTTATAAAATATAAATATAGTAACAAATTTTTTTTTATCAATCTAATTGAATAGAGAATGTTTTTTTTTTTCTTTTTTTTTTGTATCAGATCTTTTTGGACAGTTGAATTTTTTTGTTGGTTGGAAAAGTTTTGGGTTGAAACAACGTCTAAGCATAGGATGTGAGTTTTGTCTGCTAAAGAGTGAACTACACTTCGTCTGTCAAAAAATTTGGTATAATTTCTAAGTGTGACATTTGACCTTTCTAACTTTGTATATATTTATGTAGTTATTTAAAAAACAAAACTTTGTATATGTATTATTAGACACGTACGATGGCATTTATCGTGTGCTCAAAATATTAGATTTTTTTATAGTGTTTAATAGATCATCCGAAAATAATATAGGTATATAAAGATTAGACTACAAACTACGATAAAACGGTCTTAAACAAAAAAAGACCGATAGTTTTATTTGCTATACAAAAAAAAAAAAATATATATATATATATATATATACGATACATGTTATTCCTTTTTTTTTGTCAGCAATGTTTATGTTACTCGCCTTATTTCATAAAGATTGTCATTCTAGAGAATGTTTTTTTCTTTTTATGAAAAGTGTCATTTTACATTTCCAATCATTACACTAGATTTCGAAAATTTGCCCTCAATTTATATTTAATTAAAACATTAACTATTTTTAAAACAAGGATATATACGTATATTTAAATATATTTTTTAATTTGTGCGAAATATGTCAAATTGACATTTTTAGAAACAGATGGGAGTATTTACCTACACAATGATAATCAAACTTTACTTTTGATAACAACTCTGATAAACTTGCATTCATTAATCTACAATCATTTAAACAGATGTAATTTTCTAAAATTAAAGTGAACTACCATATGTTTTAGTTTTGACTATTGTACCAATAAACTTATATATATAAGATTATCACGAAATTTGGGAGACATGATGATTTCTCTAAAAAGATTTTAAACACTCGTAATCACTACTATCATTGAGACGCTTGACATGTCACCAAATAATCGTTGCCACCAAATACAAGATAACTTAGATTATATTTTCGATTTAAACTAAATATATATTTTGTTCACTGTTATTAGATATACTAAATAGATAGTTGTTGTTTGACGTCGAAAGATATTGAGTTTATAGACGGTGAAGAGAAAGGGAAGAAGAATCGTTTTAAGTATTAATATGTCAAATGTTAGAGGTGTAAAAATAAAAAAAATAATTTCGTATACTTTAAAATTTATTGTTAGAACGCGCAATAAAATTTTCTGAATTCCGTTTATGACTTTATTCTGTGATATATTTTGTATATGCATGCTATTATAAAATAATTGAAAAATCAAAAATTAAGCGTGGAAACATTATTTTTGCCGCTCAACATATATATATTATAACGTTTATTATTTGGACTAATAAAATGCAACTTCAAATATCTTAAAGCCATTATTTTAAAGTACACTCATTTATAGAACACAATAGCCTCACTCAGTGCAAATAATAAACGTTACTTAAAAAAAAAAGAGTATTAATAAGACTTCATGATAGTATACTTTAAATGTGTTTCTATTATAGCTAATTTATTTCTGATTTTTTAATACTTCAATTTTTATGCATAAGAACAGTTTGATAACCTATATCACCAATGAATAATTTATTTTATAAAATATAATAACAAGTTAATTTAAAAATTCACAGTATATGAATAATGTATTAGTGTCTTTGTATTGATATATTACAATTTCTCTTGTATTTCATTAAAATTATTTGGTTTAATTATTTTCAAACGTTTTAATTTTTTTTTTTTTGAACTATTACATACGCGAAACGTTGAAAAGAAAATATAAATTGAGGGTGTTTTATACAAAAAAAAAAATTGAGGCGTTGAACCTTGTGGCTCAGACCGTTCGATATATCAATACAAAAGAAACTATAACTATGAAACACTTTAATCGTCGTGGTTTTTTGGATGTCATCTCAATTAATTATGACCATCTCAATGTTGATCTCTGTTCTCTGATCAGGGCCGGGTAAATGGATCAATTGATCCATTGTGGGGATCGATCAATCGTCCCGCTCCTGGAATGTGCCGTCCGTTTGGATCGATCGGTCTGGTAATGGACCGATCGGTCCATGCTCTGCATCAGATAAAGTTCTACTTCCTTGCCCGAAACTGGTCCAGAACGTGTCAATTCTGCTCCAACCGCTTATCTCCTGCTCAAGACTCAAAACACGATTCGAAAGACACGAAAGACGGACTAAAATACGATAAACGACTCAAAATGGACATAAAAGAAAGGGTGAAAGACTCTAAAAACACTGTATATCAATGTTATTACAAAATAATTAAAAAATCAAAAAATTAAGTGTGAAAACATTAGTTTTGCTGCTCAACATATTATTATAACATTTATTATTTTAAAAACGCTATTAAAAAACCAGACATAAATTAGCTATAATAGAAACACATTTAAAGTATACTATCATGAAGTCTTATTAATACTCTTTTTTTTAGTGACATGTGGGCTTACATTGTTGAGGGTGTATTTTTTTGCACTCAGTGAGGCTATTATGTTCTATAAATGAGAGTGTACTTTAAAATAATGACTTTATAAGAAATTTGAAGTTGCATTTTATTAGTCCAAACGATTGTAATACTTCAATTTTTATGCATAAGAATAGTTTGATAATTTATATTATAAAATAAAATAACAAGTTAATTTAAAAATTCACAGTATATGAATAATGTATTAGTGTCTTTGTATTGATATATTACAATTTATATATCTTGTATTTCATTATAAAATGACTTGGTTGATAATCTATTGTTTTAATTTTCGAACTATTACATACGCGACATGTTGTATAGCAAAATATAAATTAAGAACGTTTTATACAAGAAAAAAAAGAATTGAGGGAATTGATATTTTTTTTATAGAATAAATTGATTATAACAAAAATATATTCGAGTACAAGATATTTGCAATATTTTACAAAAATTTTCATTGTATTAACTCTTAAACTAGTATCGTTGTGAGGTTGAATGAAGAAAATGATACTTATATATCAGATTTTGAGAAATTACATTTCTTTTTTTTCCTTTTTTTTTTTTTTTTTATTTTTTTT